CTTGACAACTTCGAAAAGAGCCATGCGATTGACGCAATTCTTCTTGTTGGCGCGATGTTTTTGAATGCGAGCGTGCAACAGAAAGCGAGCGGGGGGCCCCCTCCTCCATTTGCAAACCCAATGCATGTCTGTATCACGGGTTCTGAAAGCGTCCGCATGGGCTCTGTTTCTGCTGGCAGGATGGTGTTTGAAGCGAGCTTCTGCGGCCCCCCCTTTTGCAGACAGAATGCCTTCACTATCATGGATCATGGATTTTGAAAAATTCTATGCGAGTTATGAGTCTTTCTGTTCTTTCTTTCCTTCCTGCCTTCTTTTATCAGTTTTGTTTGTTCTCTTGTCCTGCAAATCGTTCTTTCTTGCTGCCTCTTCCTTCCTTCCTTCCTTCCTTCCTTCCTTCCTTCCTTCCTTCCTTCCTTTCGCTCTTTCCTTGTTTCTTTCGTTCTCTTGTCCTGTTGGTTCTTTCTGCCTCTTTCTGTCTTTCGTTCTTCCTTTCTTCCTTCCTTCCTTCCCTCCCTCCTTTCTTCCTTCCTTCCTTTCTTCCTTTTCTTCCTTCGTGCCTTTCCTTCTTTCTTTCTGGTGTCCTTCCTGTCTTTCTTTCTTTCTGATGTGCCTTTTGTCTCCTTAAATCCAACCACAACCAGGAAAGTTCACGAAGAAAACAGAAAAATCACAACAAATACGGTACCCGTAGTTCAATGCATCTTGCTGCCTGATGTCGCCACCGGGTTTTCGATTATCAATTTTAACACACTGCTTACATAGTATTTTGGCCTTGCATGACCGTGCCGCTCGCCTGTTACGAACAGTGCCCGAGGTTCGTGGTAGGCCGACGTGGTCACGGAGAGCTTTGTCCCATCTTTCAAGCCATGATGGCGGATGCAGCCTGCACATTCGAGACTCTCGCTTCGGCTCTGCTTCTGACGGTGTTGTGCAAAGCGGAAAATGTGTGATTCCCTTCAGCGCGGTCTGTCAGGCTTCAGAACTCAGCTACGCCGGCTGCTCTTGCAGTGCATGGCCGAAACCAGATCAGATTTCTAGATTTGGCTTTCGAAGCAGCTCAATCTGGGACTCGCGCTTGAATAGCATTGCCCAGAGGCAAGGCGAGGCCCTGAGTGTGCTGCTCTTTGCCCGTGGCCGTTTTGCGATGTCATGGTGCTGTTGGCCTACCACGACGTCGCATCTCTGAGAGATCTGCCTGGTCCTGGTCGCGGACAACGGGACATTACCAGTCCGAGCCTCTTCACCTGGTGCTCAGAATGACAAGCCCAAGCCTCCGCGCAAGCGTGGACTCTGTGCTTGCGGCTGGGACACACACTGGCACGCTGAGTCCATGGCTAGTGCGAGACGTCTGGCACGGAACGGACAGAACGGAGGACCAACAAAGACCTCGCTCGACCTGTGCCCCCAGAAAAAGCTGTCACCTGCCTGCAGCTGCTGAAAGCACCACAAATTATGCGCAGAAAGAGTGAGCAAAGCATAGTTTGTTGGGACGGCTGCTAGGACCTGCTAGGAGTTTGAGATTCTTTGCCTGGAACCGTGCGCAGCATCGGGGGCTAAGGTTGAACTTCCGCTCGGTGCTGGTGTCCTTGAGCACCTGGCTTTGATAGTATCTGCTTCCAATTTGAGAGAAATCTTACGTAGGGAAGACTTCGCGCCAGAGAGGGACGTGTCGTCCTGCATTCTACACATAAAAGAAAGACAGGGGTAGCGAGGAGGCGGTTCAAGAGGAGAAGCGAGCAACTGTGCTCTGACTCTGGTCGCCCAAATCCCCGAGAGATAGGAGCCGTCCATGTCGAGAAGACCTCAACACTTGCAGCCCTAGCAATCAGCACAGCGCACTTCACCGGGAGAGGGGGTGTTCACCACGAAGACCATGAACTGGGCATAGAAGCGGCCCAGCGAGAGCAAGAAGAAACCCGAAATTCGAGTATTCGGAAGTGTTCGGAAGACATACTGGTCACCTGTCAACACGATCTTCCATGCTCGCCCGCATCCTTGATTGCACCATATTGCAGAAGTCACTTGTTGTACCGCACATTGAACTCTTGATGATGGGCCGCCTGTGCCATCCAAATGCTACTCAACCTAGGCAGCGGCTTGACTGCAACCTGCCCAAACGCATCCAAACACTCCAGCGGGGCATCCTCAACCCTTTGCAAAGCCAGTAGACCCTACCTAAGGGTCTACTGCATGTATATAGCTGCGAGGATCCTTTACTTCTGCACGGCAAGCCAAAGCTCTCCTGCCAGTTCGACTAGCTGTCACGTTCAGGCCCATGCCACCACAAGACAGTCTCCCTCAAAGATATCCTTCAAATCTGCAGCAGCATGTGCATTCCTACAGTTTATCCGCCATGATCGGTTCTAGCGGGGGTGTAGCGTTGGTTTGGTTTTGAGGCAAGACAGCGTCGGCGCAAGCTTCGCTGCAGCTTCTCCGCGACATGCGCGTGCTTGAAATTCAGGTGCCCTTGGAGTGCACACACCACGCTCGGATCTCTAGACTCTCTAGGCTCCAGCTGCCGCTTGCCTTTGAAGCCTCCTGGAGAAGCCCCGAAGCCCGAAGGCGGATGCTTTCAGCTTGACGACAGTCGCGACTTCCTGCCGCCGCGCTCGGCCCCTCAGCCTGGAGAGATAGGATGACTTGGACGAAGGTTGCGGAGTAGGTGTCGAAATTCGGTACGTGTCGGTGTCACCAGGCCAAACGGACAAAATGCTGCTGAGAGGTGATGCTCCGGTTTTCATGTACAGCTCGAGCAATGTCAGGGATTCGGATTCAGGTCGCACTGAGCAGATGTTGATCGTGTTTGCCCATGGAAGGCAGTGGGAGGTTGGCATCGACCTCCTACGCAGGCTGAACAGTGACAGTTTGCAACGTTGCACATCGTCTGATTGGCCTTCTTCATAGTTCGAGCCGCGCGTTCCATACTCATGTCCTGTCCCGAAAATTGCAATCTTTTACTACGTCGGTAGCAACGCGGGCCTTTGTCTGTCTGTCGCATCGGGAGAACACCGGGAGAATGTTTTGTGTGTATCTGTTGAGTAACTCCAGTTGGCAGGATGGCAGACAACTCCATGGAGATCGATGACATTGCGGTCAACTCCGCCATCGGCAGCACTGCCACAGGCAAGCACATTCGTTTTTCTTGCAAGGCTGTACTCTTATAAGGCCAGAAAGCTCCAGCGACGTGTGGCCAAACGACTAAGACTTAAGTCTTAGACAGCGTCGTGGGCGGTGACAGTCGCCTGGTCTCTTTTCTGTAGCTCTTGATTTTAGCAACACAGATTGCTGTATGTATTGGTGGGGCTTGTACTTGTCGTTGCACTGTCTTGATTCTCAACACTTGAGGCTCGTTGCGATGTGATCCGCTTTCCGTCTCGCAGTGAGCAAGCCAGTGTTTCAAGGCGAACGTCAACGGATTGGTGGCCGGAATGACGAAAGTTTTGCGTGTTTCCACGAGACCTCGGCATGTGAGGCATTGTGAGAATTTCGAGCTTAATGCCTGGGAGGTATGGGGATGTCACTGTGGCGGCAGTGTCTGCAGTCGGTGCTCGGACCGGATGCGGCTGCAAAAGGCCCGAGACTTCCGAGGTCCTAATTGGAATTCGCTGCGCCGTCCCGATGCGAGGTCAAGCTTGGCCGGTGGCAGTGGATCTAATCCGGAGTGCTTAGCCTAGAGCAATCAAACTCAGCTTTGTGCTGCCTTGAGAATGTTTCTGAGGCGTGGCTTGCCGGCGCATGGCCGCTCATGCTGCCAGTGCTACCCTGGTCTTGCACGTGGTGGGCTGGACCGGGAAATCTGCCTTTCTCAAACTCATGCATGCGGGGGTCTGGATTCTGGAGTTTTCAAGGGATCGATTGCTTGGCCGTTGTGACCATTTCGCTGCCGTTTCCGTATCAGCCGAGGCTCGTGAAAGTTTCTGATCGGACTTTGCTTGGATGATCTGACTCCAGCGTATCCAGAGTCTGCCAGGACCAGGTCCTTGGACATGCTGCCGGGATGCATGCTTATTAGTGTCGCCTCGGAGCAACGGCGTATTGAAGCCCGAAGGCTTTTTTGGCTTCGCCACATGTCCATTGAGATTGACGGAGTCATCAAAAACGTCCTTGCGCATGCCATGGCCAAGGCGGCATGCGGGCATGTCCAAGCGGGTGCCACGTCTCTCATGACTTAAAGTTTTCATATGGGGTAATTGTAAAGTCATCTTGCGAAAGCGCACAAGCCACGACTTATCAGTACAGCACTGCGCGGGTTCACAACTGGTGCAGCCTCCATCCTGCAGTTGACATTGAGGTGGAGGCACGAATCAGCAGAACATGCCGGAACGGAGCATCCCACTGCCACGCCAAAGCCGTCTAAAGAACTGACTATTAGTTCCTGCTAACCAACCGTACAGCCAGTGCGACCTGGTCAGCTCAGCGGGTGGGGGCAAACAGTGCAGCCCGAGTGCACCAACATGCACCGACAACATCCAACAACGTTAAGCGACAAAAGCCAAGTACAGGACCCAAGAGCAAATCATCACGATCTGACTCGCTAAGTTAGATACATGCAACATGCCACATGCTGACACATTATTTGCGAAATGTCTCCAAGTGCATGCACCAGCAACTTTTGCGAGGCATCTTCTGATCCGAAGGATGTACATGGCAGCCAGAAAGCATGTCTGTCAAGCTTGGAGTCCATCAGTCTGAAACAAGGTTACACCACTGGTTCGTCATCTGCATGAGCATTTGGCATGTTCGCTCGCACCCCGCTCTCGGGCTGTACTGTGCGATAAGGCTGAACTGAAGGCTCATAGAGGAGCTGTTTGGAAAGGTGAAACGAAGCACATCATGTACGTTTGTGCAGGGTTGGGGACTTGCCGTGATCGCTCCTGCCCATCAGAATTTCTGGGGTTTGATCGCTCTCAGATAATGATTTCAAGGCCTGATCACTCCTTCTTCTGTGCTGGGCTGAAGGTCCGGAGGATGTGTCCATTGGCTAAGTATGATGCCTGCCACAACCTGGCACAAAACCAGACAGTGCGCGCACGCGAATGCCCAAGTCAAAGCTTGCCCCCAGCCCGCATGCAACGCTGCGCGCGTAAGGCTTGTTCCTACTGGTCTGGTTCTGGTGCCTCATTTGCCAGCACTGCATACACCAAACCCATGAGATCCTGTGAAGCGGCCCGCAAGCTGCCTGATCCGCTCCAGGACGGAGCCGACGATCTTATCCCCAATCGTGATCCACGAGCGATGTGTTTCGCACAAATCGCAGTACTATTGAAAGGGGCATTCAAGACATCGCCACCGCTGCCCGTATTGTTTGAAGGCAGCTGTCCACCAGGGTGAGGTTGGATGCCGAATACGGGGCAAGGAGCTGACAGCCAGCATTATCGATCGCCCTGCAGCAGGGCTTCTCGCACTCGTCGCGCTGGTCCAGCCAATGGCAAAGGATCCGTCCACGGGCAAGTTCCAGGAAGAACTGGCTCCAACACCTTGCTAGTGCTCCGAAACAAACTTCCGATTAGCCCGTCCTCTCACCCAGAGATCCTATCCTCCCAGCACTCTTTTCGCAAGAGCGGGTCTGGACCGACTCGTGCTCGCAACCGGCCCAAGTCCAGCAAGGCTCCCAAACGCCAACGTAATGTAAGGATGGCGCAGCTCAGCTAGTTCGTCAGTGAACAATCAGCCCATCAACAAACTAGACCTAACAGTCTCCACTCCAAGCGCAGGCAAATAGCCTTCAAGGGGATGAGCCCAGAACCTTGGCATCATGACCGCAGCAATGTGCGCACCGAGCAAGGCATCCGTCTCAGTTTCCATGGCATGGTGAACCCCACTCCGCATAGGCCCGGCAGCGAAGGGGGCTCTGGGGAAGGGAAGTCTGCTGGTGGACTGCTCGATCCGGAACCCTGATCACCCCTACTAAATCGTCATCATTTCAAGGCGCGATCACTCCCAACCACCAGTATGTTCGTGTCTGCTCATTCGCAAGTCGAGTGAGTTGAGATTCATCGCCCTGAAGCAGTGATTTGAGCATGATCGCTTCCCAAAACTCTCGCGACGCCGCTGGGCTCGCAGCAGGAGCACAAGGTCGGTCGCCATGCAGAGAAGTTCAACAAGTTAACGGTGAGCTCGACGACGACTCCAAATCTGTTGGAAGGGCAGTGCAAATCCAACAGCGGAAACAGAGCACAGCAGCTTGGAGAGGTTGCTCGTCAAGTTGTGACCCGACCATCCCCCTGCTTGATGACTTCTATGATTCTATGAGATAGGTGTAAGTTAACCACCGCCCTTGAAAAGCGGCCGTCTCCTCGCAGAGACATAGTTTTCTAGGATGCAGCAGAGCGCAGGCTCGCACCACCCAATCCTGGCTTGTGGGAGCCAACAAATCCATACAGTGGGATTCTGAAGCGGGGATGCCGTTATGTGCTGTGGCTCTTGGGGTCCTTGCATCGAAGGTGACAGTAAAAAGCCCTTAGGGCGAGGAAGAGCTTGCTGAGCTTGCCGTTCAGTTCAAGGCGACATCAGTCCCTGCACCTGCAAAAGACCTCTTCATGCATGCCATCTGTGCGACTTCCAGCGTCAACTTCAGGACCACGGGGCCTTGCTCTGATGACATCCGCTGGTTCATCGTGGCCTTGCCTGAGCTCTCCCCTCTCGCACCATCTCTCTGATGCCCTTGACGTTGGCGTCGCCCACGCCATCCTCAACAGCATCCTGTCGCTCGGGCATTCGGGGCAAACGGCTGTGAAAAGCAATGCATGGGCTGAAGCATGCTCAACTGAACTGGAAGAGCAGATCAACTAGCAAAAAAACCCTTGCTAGTGACTGTTCACGAGACGACTTCTCGAAGTTGGTAGAACGGGAGACGTCAGCTCACCAGTATCAGACCGGTGCACCATGGCAGGGTGCCAGCATCCACATGACGCGAGAGAGACAGCAAACAACTCAGGACTGCCGAATCAAATCTAGCCGATCTTCTGCTCCTCTATTGATTTAATTAGATCTATATATTGACCACCCGTGATCGCCCGTGATCGTTAATTGTCTTGTCGCCCGTTGGCAACCTTGCCGTCCTGCCCACGACCGATCACTCTGTCCCCAAACGAACCACTATTTCGCCACCTGCTGAGCACCATTTTGCCTTGTGTCAGTTGCATTTTGTCGCCTGACGACTTCCGATCCGATTAATAGGAGAATTGCTGCTAATCATTCTGAACCCGTGATCACCAGTCTGCCGGAGGCTAACCACTACTCCAATAAACCTCGCATAAGCTACTGTCTCTGCAGCATCCCACTGTTGGCAGCTCTTTTGGCTGGTATGCTTGCAAATCAATCTTCTTGACAATATGGATAGACATGCCAATGTTCGATGCCTTGCATCTGTGAAGACACGAACCGATTTCGAAGCAGAGTGTGTTGGCACCTGGCCATTGCTCAGACTTGTGGAAGGCTGGACAGTGGCGCTTTGCTGCAGCGACTTGCCTTGGTGCTGTTGGTGTGGCCGCCACAGTAGGCGCACCAAGCGGTTTTGCACACACGACCTGTTCCAACTCGTTGTCCGCAGCCGAACTGACGAAGCAGCCGTCTTGCGAGGCGGGCCCAATGTGGGCTGCTGGCATTTTGCTGCAGCAGCTTTCGCAACTTGGCTGTCCGGCAGCTGAACCTGAGCCTCCTGTTCAAAGCTCAGGTGGTACTGGCTGCCCGCCGCTGCACCGATGCAGTGATGGCCAGTGCAGCCCTGGGTGCTGTGGCGCGAGCTGAGAGCTGGCGGGCTTTCACATGCGATCAGTGCTTGCGTCTGAGCAGCGGCAGCGAGCTTTTTGTCAGGCACCTTGCGCAGACTCTGTTGTGCTTGGCTCCTGCACAGCTCGTGGATGCTCGGCTCTTTGTCCTTCTTGACTTTGCGTGTCCTGATTTGTGGCGATTTTTGTTTAGGCTTATGACGTACAAAGCTGAATTAGGTGATTCTCAGGTTTTCAAGTTCGGCAGAAGTTGTCGAAATGTTGTGAAGCATGGAAGTAGGTTAAACAACAGTTGCGCACAAGCTGATTCGATTGCCTTTGAGCGTGGGATAAAGCATGTACATTCGGAACGGCTGTGCCCGTGCAAGCGTGGCAAGAGAAAGGCGGGAGATTTCTGGTCAGCCTCCAATATTTGAGCCCAAGCTTCACAGCCTCGTCCTGGTCAGTCGCTAGTCCTAGTCTTCCCTGCAAAAGCCACCGACGAGAGGTCTTGCAACAAAATTACCTGGGGATCCGTGAAGAAGGTCTTAAGCGAAAAGGGGCAAGCCCAGAGGCAAAGGTAGAGCAACTGCTTAGCTTCACAGCCCTGCTGGTGTTGAAGCCGGGGGGCGTGGCTGAGGGACGTTCAAAAAAGGGCTTCGCTAGGGCCCCTGATCCAACTGGAGATTCATAAGTTTCATAATCCGCACCAAAGTGTCAACCTTGAAACCCCGCGGAAAAGCCGAGAAGCGCCACTTCACGATTTGGCATCTGCGGATCCGTGTTGAGTCATATTTGGAGACCAGGTTTATCTGTTCTTCGCAGGCATCGAGCTCATTTTGTCTCTGTTCGCGGTGCGCAAATAGCTACCATTGGTTCACTCATTCATCCATGCATCCATGCAGCCATCCAGCCAGGCATCCATCCATCCATCCCTCCCATCCATCCCATCCATGCATTCGTTCATGCATTCATTCATTCCTTAATTCCTGCATTCCTTCATTAGTCATTGATTGACTGATGGACTGATTGATTGATTCATTCATTCATCCATCCATGCATCCATCCATCCATCCATTCGTTCATTCAGTCAGGCATTCCTTCCTTCCTTCGTTCATTCAATCACTCAGTCAATCAATGCCTTGATTGATTGATTGATTGATTGATTCATCCATCCATTCATTCATTTAGTCAGTAATTCATTCCTTCCTTCGTTAATTCGTGCATTCACTCATTCATTCGTTCGCTCGTTCGTTTGTTCCGTTTTTCATTTCATTCATTTCATGTCGCTTCACCTCAGCTCATATCATTTCATCTCATTTGTCGTCATTTCAACCATTGTTTCGATCATTCATTCACTCGTTCATTCATTCATTCATTCATTCATTCACTCATTTGTGACCTGCCGCAACGTGTCTGCGGACGTTGCCATGCGGGAGCCAAGAATTCATTCCTTCATTCAGTAGTCATTCCTTCCTTGGTTCGTTCACTCATTCGTTCATTCATTCATCAGTTCATTCATCCACTCATTCACTCATTCACTCATTCACTCCTTCACTCCTTCACTCCTTCATTCATTCATTCATTCATTCATTCATTCATTCATTCATTCATTCATTCATTCATGATCCATTTTACGAATCGACCAACCCACCACTCAACCAATCAACCAGCCAATCAACCAATCAATCAGTCAGTCAGCCAATCAATCGATCAGTCTGTCAGTCAGTCAGTCATTCAATCAATCAATCAATCAATTAACCAATCAACCAATCAATGAATCACTTTGTGATTCCATCCATCCATCCATCCATCCATCCATCCATCCATCCATCCATCCATCCATCCCATCCATGCATCCATCCATCCATCCATCCATCCATCCATCCATCCACCCATCCCCCCATCCATCCATGCTCAACTCAACCAGTCAGTCAGTACAATCGTTCATTTCAACCACGCAGTCATTCAACCAGTCAATCAATCATGCATTCATCCATCTATTCATGCATGCATTCGTTGATTTCTTCGTCGATTCATTGGTTGATTCATTCGTTCTTTCTATTTTTCTTTCATTCATGTCGTCATTTAACCGCTCATTCGTTCATTCATTCATTCATTCTTTCTTTCTTTCATGCGCTCATTCTTGCACTCACTCGTTCGTTCATTCATCTTGCCGCCAGCGTTCTGTCAGCTTTCGTTCCACTTTCGCCTAACCTCATTTCCAAGGTTTGCTTTCATTCGTCGGTTGGGCAGTCACGACTACATTTTGCCCTACAAACAACGAGCTGGACTGTTCGGCCAGTTTTGAGGACCGTGTCACTTTCGCAGCTGCAGCCGCAGGTGCTGACACGTGGTGTGTCATGTAGCCAAGCTGCAATCCCGGCCAGAAGCATTGACACGTACGAGAGGTTTACTCCAGCTTGCACACGAGCGTGGCCTGCAACCTACCCAAGCCATGGTCGCCAAAGCCGTGAAGGTGCTGCCCTCATGCTCTGTGTTTCAAAGCAGGCGAGAGTACACGGGTTAAGCTTTGGTACTCAGGCCACGACTTGGATGCAAGCCCGCGAAAGTTTAGAGCAGATGAAGGCCCTAGCTGTGTTGCCACAAACTTTCTTGTGTTTTTGCAGCTGCTGGAAACAAACACCAAGCATTGTGAGATCCTCAACTTCCACGAGTTGCCCTGACAAAGTTGTGGTTTTGAGTCATTTGAGTCCATGAACTCAAAGATTGCAGCAGGAAGCATGGCCTCCCTCAGTGCATGCCTCCCGCAAAGCCAGATCGGCAGACTCCCTCATAACCTTGCACAAGATGCCGGAGAGGCAAAAACGATTTCTCCGGATGTGCTGATTCAGAATGCCGAAATCACTACAGGCAAAGCCGGCGACCTGCCACAATGTACGCCTGTGCGGTGCTGCCAAACGACGTTAAGCATGTGAGCGAGAGTGCTTTCGCCTCTGAGGTGGGATGTGGCGAACTCCGCTACAGCTCTTGGAGCGTGCCTCGCACGTGAGCGTGAGATGAATCCCAGTCCTAGTTGTATGCCACCATATGCTGCTCAATCTGCTTCCTAGGGATGATCAAGCTCCTCACACGTGCACACATTGGACATTGATAGTCTATGACAGTCCTGGGCTGGTGGTCCAGAACACCAGAAGACGATCTCAGGCCTGGCTTGGGACTTTTGCCGCCCAGACGTCGCGAGCTGGAGCTCGGTCGCGTCGTCCTGCACTTCTGCCGCTTGGGTATTCGGTTCAGAACAGCGACGCCGTGGAAACCAGCGATGTTTTTCTGGCTTCAGACGGCAGTGGCGACTAAGTGTAGGCTGTCTGTGCGTAGACTCTGAACAGCCTCTGGCTCTTCTAGCATCGCTGCAGTTTGCGTTGCTTTAACAGCCCTGGGTGAGGCGAATTTTTGGAGCGTCGCCGCGGAGCTGCTTCGCAGCTACTCGGCCCAGAACTTGCAAACGTCTGGGCCTCATCATGCCTCATACCTTTGAAGGTCCAGACCCATTGGAGGGGCCTGGCTTCACCGGAGGAACTTCTTTCTTGTGACTTCTGCCACGTCCCGCAGCTGGACCAGGGCCTTCGAACTCTGCCAGGCGCTAGTCACACGAGCCGCTCCCGCTTGCGCCATTCTGCCAGCAGTGTCAAGGCATACAAAGGCGATCCCTCGGTGACGAACTCTGCCCTTGGAGCTCTCGCCAGGCGCGACGCAAGCAGAACGTATCCCATGAGCCGAACGCATCCTGAACGCCACGTACGTGTGAGAGAAAGGGAATGTGTGTAACTATATCTTTTTCCCGGAGAGCTTTCCTTGCACATTTTGCACTTGATTGGGCATCTCGTGTAGTAAACGTTCTCGGTGTTTGAGTGGGGGATCGCACTCCAGCCCTTGTGTAGCCGAGCCATTTGGGGCGAAGTCCAACAACGGAAGCTTAAAACCTGACAAGACCATGCCCCACGCAAGCAAGCAAGCAAGCAAGAAAGAGAGAGAGAGAGAGAGAGAGCAGAGGGCAACCTCTGCCCACAGCCCTGGTGAAAGAAAGAGAGGGTGAACCCCCCAGCAAGCAAGAGAGAGAGAGAGAGAGAGAGAGAGTGTGTGTGTGTGTCTGTATGAGTGCATGTCAGGGACAGCGAGTGAGTTTGGGAGTGAGTGAGTGAATGAACGAGTGTGTCAGTGTGTGTGCGTGTGGGCGGGTGGTGGGCGGGTGGTGGGCGGGTGGTGGGCGGTGGGCGGGTGGTGGGCAGGTGGGCGGGTGGGCTGGGTGGGTGCGAGTGATCAGGGTGCGCAGTGCGCCCAAGTTAGGGTTGACACAGAAATGGCGAAGAAACATATAAACAAGTGAAACTAAACTTGCGTCTAACTGGGGATTCACTTTAGCTAAAGTCAGTATCAACTAAGACAGAGAGTGACCTAGTACCTGTAACACATTATTTGATGGCGTGAGAACTTCTCACTCAGTACACGTTTTGTGACATAATAGAGATGTTGTATTGCTTGTTAGGCAGGCCACCCGGCCACCCGGCCGAAAAATAGAAAGGCTTAAGGGGACCCCTTGCGCCCCCCTCCCTCCCTCAAGAGACCAAAAGGAAGCGACACCCGAAGCCCTCACTTCAATTGGCAAGTGATAAACATATTCGGCTCACAACCACATGCACACACCCCACGCATCCACGCCTACGTCCACGCCTCCGCACCCCCCGACCCTGCACAGGCTGCCCACCACAAAGAAATATGCCCAACGTTACGAAGGTGAGAGCTGAACGCCACAAAGACTCCACTCAAGGGCGCGCCGGCTGCGCAGGGCAGCAGGCAGCCAACGATTTACGAAGCCTAAGCGTGAAGAAGGTGTGCCATGTGTTGCAACCGACTGTGAGGCACGGACACTGGCGGCTGGCAATTGCCTTGCTGCACGGTGGCTCTTCGGTTTCAGCTTCTGAAACAGGTCCAGCCCTGCAATCCGATTCTGCCAGGACACTGTTGAGCTACTGCCATTCGCTCCGTGTCAGGCGACGAGAGAGAACATGTCATCGGCACCAACTCGGCCATGGCAGCGTTTGTTGTGGAAGGCACCGATGAAGAAGATGTCGCTTAGTCTATCTATGGCCATCTGAGTCGTGGGTTCGCAGGACCGTGGCCACGAGCGCTCGGCCTTGCTAGCGGCTGCTCCGATGCACTCGGCGGTTCGGCGGCCGTGGCTGCTGCGCACCACTGGGAGGCAAAGGGAAAGCTTGGGGAGCATGCGTGTGAACGCCAGGGCGTGCCATCGTCAGGTCTCGTTGACCTTGCTCTGGACATTGCAGCGACAGTTTCACTTGGACGAAGACTGCCGCTTGGCGACTTCCCATTTCCGTCAAGCACTACATACGGCAGTAGGGGTTGATGACACTCTGATGCTCTGAGATTTCAATGCAGCCTTGCGAGTTTGTGCTCGCAGCTGTGAAGGAAGACTCCCAGGAAGGTTTCGAGGTGAAAATGAAGCCGATTGAACACTGCGAATCAAATGATGTGTGTTTGCTTACCTCTTTTAATCTTTGTTCGTTTCAGTCTGAACTCAGCGTTTGCGCCCGTCGCAGTTCTGCCATCCTCGGAATGGGACAGAAGTAGCTTGGCTGACTTGACTCGTGTCCTCGCGCTGATTTGCACTGGCCAAGCTTCTGCTAAAGCGGCATCCGTGCTGCACCCAGGAGCAAGAAAGGCGTTATGGCTCTGTGACCAGCTGGTAGCTGAGATGCTACGAAGGTGATGTTTGGCATCCAGGGCAAGACCCGCACAGGTCGTGGATCGCCGTAAGGAATGGCAGCACCGGCAACCTGGAGCAGGTGGGATATGGGCAGTGCCCTTGGCAGACTTCCGAACCTGATCGAAAGCCAGGCCGCACAGATGGCCGTGGATGCCTGGGGAGGCACTCTTATGCGTGGCCACGACTGCTGCGTGATGCCGGGCAGCCTACGTGGGCATGGGTTCGCTTGGCTTTGCATTTGGCTCGGAGTTTTCTAGGTTGATTTGGTTTGCAGCTTTTGTGTTTCACATGGGTCAGTCGTTCTCACTTGAAGGCTACTTGCTCAAATCAATGTTCACCCGTAAGCCAAGAGGTGCATCCTTTCCAGATATGCAGTATGATCGAGACTGCACCCTGATGGACTTCCCGAAGTTGGCAGGGATTTCGCCTGTTTGGCCAGGTTGGCACCACCCTACTGCTACACAATGAAGACTGATGTCTTTGACTTTGCGATTCCGGTGCTGCTCTCACTGTTTGTCACTCCGGCATGTTACTTGCTGCTCATCTTGGCTGCAGATCTGCCTTGGATCTTAGAGGAAGGTCTTTAAGCGATTGAGATGTCTCTGTCTGCAAGTGATTTGCCGCTGGAAAGGCAATGCTGTTCGCAGCTGTTGCATCCAAGCTGGGACCTAAGAGCCGATGTGCGCCGCTTCCATTGACCAGGGGGAAGGACAGGGGTGGAGCACGCACTTCGGCAGGTCTTGCGCTCTTTGGGTTCGCCAACTTGGGCGGAAAGCTCCTGAAGAGCCAGGGCCTTGTTCTGCAAGGCCTCTCTTGGCAGAAGGCACTGGCCTGAGGCAGTTTCATGGCAAAGAGCCACAACAAGGGCAGCGCCGACCTGAGCTGCAAGCTTCTTGAAGCCGCGGATGCGGGCGGGTGTGCGGGCGGCGGGTCTGTTGCTCTCACTGGAAGGCCACAAAGTGCTGTCGACCTCGAGCTCGGAGACCAAGAGAGAGCCCAGCCGTGCTGTTCGTGACATTCGTGACGCTTCGCGCAAAGCTGCAGCTTTCTGAAGCTGGCACCCTGAAGAACCTCCACAGGACATCCAAGTGATCCTATGTCCCAACCATCGGCCCAGGCAGAAGCTCCTAGCAATTTGGGACCAGTCCTGTCTTGGCGGCAAGGGCGACCCACAAAAAGCTTTGCCTGGGTCCGAGTTGCACGCGGAATTCCGCAAAGCTTTTACGGCCCCTTTTTCTGCTTCAGGCCCCGATCTCGGGAGTGGGGCCGTGCAGCGGCAAACTTCTTCGCTACGATGAAGCTTGCCTTTGACTTTCAGGCTTCGCAGTGGTTCCCATGTCTCAATGACGGCCTTTTTGCTTGTCTTTCTGTTAGTTGACAGGCGGACAGCGTCTGCAACCAGTTCGAGCACTTGATTTCCCTCTGGAGGACGGGCACGATGACGGGATCAGCGGCGCGATGCACGCAGATGACATCTGCCCACGGTTTTTGCTGTTCCGCGTGCTTCACACTCACGAATGCCTTTCTGAAAGCAACATGCGCTGGAAGCCGCTCAAGCATGAGCTGCAGTCGGGATTTGCAGAGTTGCATGTAAGACGGTCGATCGGTTGAATGACCGATCCTGGTACTAGCCTGGCACCAAACACCCGGGCACAAAGCGATGAGAGGGAGTGCCCCAGCCTACAAGGGGTGCGGGGTTCCCTCACTTTGCCTGCGCTAGTGCGGGTGGCAACCAGAGAAATGCTAGTGTGGCTCTGGCAGAGGGGGCCATTGTCTTGTCCCCTCTCAGCTTGCAGAAAGACAGTAACGATTCAGCACAGAGCTCCTCATCCCAAAAAAAAAGAAGAGTGGAGATTGCAAGCATTTGGCCACGACGATAGAAGACTTTCTGCTCTTTAGGACTTGTGTGTTTCGAAGAATTTCTTGCCGAAGGTCCCATGCTGCCATAGTGACCGACCGAGCGATCCAAGATGCGGTAGAAAACAAATGGAGGCCAGGGGGGTGTTGCAGCTGCTATGAGTCGTGTTTGATAGCATGGAGTCTCACATGTTCACATTTGAACTATAAGCCGATGCCCAGTGTGTCGGACACAGAAGATGATCACACTTCCGGGGTCTCCCCCCTTGTGTGGACCTGCGTCTGAGCCCGAAGTCGTAGCTCCGACTCGACTGCCGCAATTGACGGGCAGCTGCACGCAACACTTAATGGGGGCATGGCTGGATCAGCACTTCCGGTTCACAGTGTCATGCCAGGTGGGTCTCCGGCTCTCTGAGCGAGCAATCCAAAGGAGGCCTCGACGTGAGCCACAAGGCACGCCGTATTGTTTGGGTGTTTGTCAATGTTCGTCAGCTAGTGTGAATGCAGTATTCGCTGGCACGACTCTCGTGCAGTGTGCCGTCTGTGGGACCTCTGCATACGCTTGCTTGGTCTACAATGCAGCCTGCTCAGAAGCCGTTTTGAAGCAACCAGTTCTGACTTTTTCACCAGCACGTCGGGCTTGTTAGTTTTAGAGTCGACCCGGTTTCCCACGCATTGAGCCATGGCGCCGGCGAGTGACAGTGAGGCCATGGACCAACTGTGCCTCAGCCGATCTGGGCACGGACACAGCTCGAAAGTGATCTTTTGTTTGGGCGGTCTTAGGCAGCCTAGAGTTTTGCTGAGCATATGCAAATCTTCTCACACACCCACACAGACTCACACGCATCTGTATCTATATCCGTATCTCTATCTCTATCTCTATCTCCATCTATTTCCACCCATATACCTATAAGTATACCTATATATATCTATATCTAGACCTATACCTATATCTGTTAATATCGTTATCTGTACCGCTGTCTATTTCTGTCTATCTCTAGACAGCTCTATCCGAGTAATTATAACACAACTCACACACACACACATACGCAGACCCATAGAACAGTATCGAACTACATGGTTCGCGGTTGATTCC